GGTGGCAGAGCTGTGTGTGTGTGTGTGGAGGGGGGTGAGGGATAGTTAGATGGCAGGGAGTAATGCTTTAAGGCAGAATTTTAAAGACTCGATTGAAATAAATAAATGTTTCATGGAATTGAGAAATGTATTTAGGGCAACATAAAAATTCGGAGGACAGTTTTAAACACAAAGTAGAAATAGCATATTATTGTGGGAAGAGCTCAGAACTGGGAGTTAGAACTAGAATCTAGTCCTGATTTTACCCTTTCCTAGCTGTGGGTTTAGATAAGTCACTTAACCTCTCTGGGCATCAGTTTGCTCATCTGTAAAAATGAGGTGAGTGGATTCAACTTCCAAAGTTCCTTTCATTCTTAAAATTCATGATTCTAGGGAAAAAAAAAATCCTGAAACATGTTTCACATAGCTTCTAGTCTGCCACTCAAAAACATACAACAGAAACTGCCATGTTAGGACTTTTGAGTTGATTTTTCAGTGTTTCTCTCAATACCTGGACTTCAGGTCTCACCACAATCCCCAGCTCTTGCCCATTACCATCCTCCTCTGGATTTCTGGGGCTCCAGCAAGGTTGGTGTGGGACAATCCAGAGCCAAGGAGGAAGAGATGCATATATATTTCAGTTACCATCTCTTCTCAGACTTAACTTATTCTCATCAAAGCCCTAGTAACTGCATTTTGAAATGTTCTGAATGTCTGGTTGCTGAGGTCAAGTCACATTATAAGAGGTGGAAACAGAAAACAACGTGAGGGAATAGATTTGCAGTTCCACTAGCATGCATATCATTCATTAACACTTGCACAGAGTTGGACCTTAGGATTTCAGTTTCACAGAATTCAGTTCTCCAAAGGGTCTAATTAGCCTCCCAGGAAAACCAGCTCTAGAATTCAAGTACACTACCACCAGGTGACAGTGACAGGTCAAAGACACAGAGACCAATCAGTAAATATGAGGCTTCTCCGAAGTTCAAACTGCACTCTGTTCAAGTAACGTGCTGCCACCTCCTTCAAATGTGTCACCATGAATTCTCATATTGTTTAATATCATAAATAGATTTAAGTATTAAGATAATTAAATGTAAGCACCATATTTAGAAATTGCTTAGACGTACTGGTTCTCAACTCTGGCTACACATTAGAATCACCTGGGAAACTTAAAAAATATATATATTCTAATGCTCAAACCTCCCTCCTAGAAACTCTCACTTAATTGATCAGGGTAGAAAACTTTTTTTGCCTTTTTTTTTTTTTCCCCAGAGGTGGGAGTGAGGGGTTTTTTGCTCTTGAACTTATCATGTCACTTTTTTTTTTTTTTTTTAAAGATTTTATTTATTTATTTGAGAGAGAATGAGAGAGAGTACATGAGAGGGAGGAGGGTCAGAGGGAGAAGCAGACTCCCTGCCGAGCAGGGAGCCCGATGCGGGACTCGATCCTGGGACTCCAGGATCATGACCTGAGCCGAAGGCAGTCGCTTAACCAACTGAGCCACCCAGGCGCCCTCATGTCACTTTTTTCTACACCAAAATTAATGGAGGGACTTGGTAAAAATGCTGTGATTACTTCTCCATCTTTCTAGCTATTCATTCATCCATCTGTCCATCCATCTGTATGGGTATACATTGTCAAGAGCTGCAGAGAAGACCAAGATAAATATTTGATTCCTATTAGCAACTCCACTGGCTATAGACTTCTTTATAAACTGCTTTAGAAAATTTAAGGTGAGCTTTATAATAGAACAAGACATTCTGATCAGAAAAATAAGCTGCAAAAAAGTAATATATATTTTTAAATATAATAAAGATTTAAATATATTTAAATATTTATAATAAAAAATTAAATATATTTTAAAAATTTTAAATATAATAAAAAATATTCTGATTAAAAAAATTAATCTTTCTATTGAAGTGTGACAAACATATAGAAAAAAACACAAGTCATAAGTATATATCTGAATGAATTCACCAGGTAAACAACCATACACTTCCTCTTTCCTCTCCAAAGTTATCACTATCCTGACTCGTAACATTACAGAATAGTTTTGCCTATTTTTAAACTTTGTATAAGTGGAATCGAACAGTTATGTATTCCTTTTGTCTGGCTTCCTTTGCTTAACATTGCGTTTGTGAGATTTATCCATGTTGCCAGGTACAGCAATAGTTTGTACCTTTTTATTGTTGTGTAGTATTCCATCGGATGAATAGGACAATTATATATTTAGGACTTGGATTTATAATAAGTAGGAGTGAAATCACATTGTCAGTCTTTTCAAATTATAGAAATTGGTAGGTATAGTGAAATCTCATTATAGTTTTAATTTGTGTTTCTGATAGCCAGTAAGATTGTGTTTGGGGGATCATTTTGGATACCTTTTTTGGTAAAGTGTCTGTCTGTTCAAATCTCTTGCCTATTTTTTTTCCCAATGGGCTTGCCTTATTTATGTTTTTAAAAAACAGGTATAAAAATACTACTCGTCATTTCAAATAATTGATTTGTGGTTTGGTTGATTTTGTCCATTGTTGATTTGTTCTCTATTTCATTGTTTTATGCTCTTATTTCATTACTTCCTTTCACTTTCTTTGAGTTTTACTTCCTAACTTCTTAAAATGGACACTTAACACATTGATTTTCAGCCAGTCTTCCTTTCTAACATATACATTTGAAACTATGCATTTTCCTCTAAGCATTGCTTAGTTGCATCCCAGAAGTTTGGATATGTCATATTTTCATTATCACTCGTTCAGAATATTTTCTAATTTTCATGGTTATTATTTTTTTGACTCATAAGTTATTTAGAAGTAGACTACTTAATTTCCAAACATTTGGGGGTTTTACAGACATAATTTTGTAGTTGATTTCTGTCTCAATTCCATATACAAGATTTCAATTCTTTTAAATTTATCAAGATATGCATTAGAACTTGGCAACCTTGGTAAATGTTGCATGTGCATTTGAAAAGTTTAAGCATTCTATCATTTTGAGATACAGTTTCCTAAGTACATTAGTTAGTTCAAGCTTGTTGATCATGTTCATCTGCTTTTTATATCTCAAAGAGCCAAATAGTAAATATTTTAGGCTTATAGGCCATAATGTCTCCATACCAACTACTCACCTTTGCCATTGTAGTGTGAAAGCCCCCAGAGACAATACGTAAATGAATGGGTAGGGCTGCGTTCTTATAAAACTCTAGTTACAAAACCCAGCGGCCAGTTTCTGGGCCATAGTTCACCAATGCCTGTTCTATCTAATTACTATATATATATATATGTTTTGGTCTGTTTATTCTTTTAGCTATAGAGAAATCTCCACAGAGATTGTGAGTTAGTCCAATTCTTCTTTCACTCTGAAAATTTTGCTTTGTATATTACAAAGTGATATTACTAGGTGCATACAAATTTAGAACTTAAATTTGTTTTCCTGGTGAATGAGTCTTTTAGAAATATGAACTGTCCCTTTATCTCTAATAATGCTTCTTGCATTAAGGAATATCTTGTATAATATGATATATATACTACATCAACTTTCTTTTGGTTTACTATCCTTTTATTTACATTTATATATTCTTTTACTTAGGGTTGTACTCTATTAAGCAACACATACTTAGTTTCCTTTTTTTTTCTAAATCCCATTGACATTCTTAGTCTTTTTCTTGGCATATTTGAGTCTATTTATGTTTTATATATATATATATATATTTTTATTCCATTGGGTAAATATAAACATTGACTCCCCTTCTGAGACTCTTCACTCTCTGTTCCAAAGCTCTAGTGAGAGACTAGGTCAAAATTATTTTCTCAGTTTTTGCTCCTGAGACCGCCTCATTTTTTCCTCAGAAAGCCTATTTGTTCCAGTGAAGCTGAGTCTGGACCTATGGGCACAGAGACTTGGGTACACAAACTTGTGCACATGCGGGGGCTAGTCTCTACCCTCAGCAGTACCTAGACTCATTGGTGCCAAGATTCTTGCCTATAAGAAGCCAGAGCCACAGAAGGGTGGGTGATAATGGGGACAGCAGCCAAGAGCTTACCTGTTTTTTCTTATTGATTTGTAGGAGTTCTTTATATATTCTGCTATGAACCCTTTATAGTTATATGTGCTGTCTTTTAGTCTATGGCTTGTCCTTTTGTTCTCTTACTGATACATTTTGATGAGTACAAATTCTAATTTTAATAAACCAATTTAATGATATTTTCTTTTAAAATTTACTTAAAACACTGAGAGAGGCAGAAGTGGTCTGAACCCTTGAGAAGCCTTGATCTTAGAAGAGAATGGGGCAGAAAGTCCCTGAACTGTCTGGCCTTATTAAGGAATGACCTTTCTGTTTAAATTTTCACACAGGTTTATGCAATATTTTACAAGAGTAACCTCTGGAAAAGAACAGATCTCTTGGAGACCATTCCCCCAACTGAATTTATTATATGTATGTTTAATACGAACAATTTGAGATGAGTTCAAAAACAAGTGATTTTGTTTTAAAGGATGGTAGTGCGAGGAGAAGGAGGAAATAGTCATTAGTTGTTGCACAAAGGACAAAGCCATATGACACTATTTTCTACCTGTATACATTCTTAACTTGGAAGGAGAAACCTGGACTAGCAATAAGGACAAGAAAATAGGTTAAGGTCTTCCTCAGAAGAAAAATAAAACTTCCTTCAGGAGAGTGGTACTGACGCATAATACAAAAGTACCCAGTCACCAGGGCCTCTTGCTTGGACTACAGGCAGGCAGGGTCTGTGAGGTCTGTGAGGTCTGTGAGGACACAGACCCCTGAGAATAGACATGCCTCTGAGGCCAGGCACTGTTCCCCTCTGCACCAGTCCCTACTGCTTCCCTATTGCACAGATTACAGTCCTGCTGCCCAGCTGTGAGCAGGACTGTTCAGAAGGTGCTAAGACAATATGCCAAGTGGCTAATTTCCTTCTTGAGTGCTGACTTGGCAGAAGGGAGACTGGACTGAGCATGTGCAGACAAATGAATCGAGAAAGGCCACAAGATGTCCTGCTTACTGTAGCTGGAAGTGCGTGATCTTGGTAACCAGCAGTTTGTACTGGGCGCCCAGTGGAGCCATGGAGGTGACATCTACAATTACCAGTTGCTCCAGAGGTCCTGTTTCATTGGTTGCTTCTGAGGGACACAAGGTGCGGCTTACTTCCTGGTAGTTGTAACTCCTCTGGTATCTGTAGCAGTGGATGGAAAGAAAAACAAGCAAGAACAAAAGAGAGACTCGGTGAACAAGCAAGGAAAAAAAAAAAGCCAATCTTATTTCATTTCTCTCCAAATTTGTTTTCAAGTCCTTATGTTTTAAATTTCAGACTGGACCTATGATAGTGATTGAGTCTTGGGCATAGGTTTGTGTGATGTAATAACGGGGACTTGAGGACTCTTCAGTGCTGGCCAGTTCACTTTGATTTTGTCTATATTATGTTACACCATCTTCCTAATTCAATGAGGAAAAAAAAATACCAAATATTGAAGGGGAAATTGTGCTGTTAAAACAACCAGTTGATTTCATATTTCCACTTTTTAAGCTTTTGCTAAATGGAACATAAAAAAAAAAAAAAAAAGCCCCAGAGCCCAAGTCAAGGCTATGAGAGTTACTATTTCAATCCTCAAAATTACTCAGCCACTAAAAATGAGTTAATGCCATACTATGTACCTATGTCTGAATGCCTTCTGGTTTTTTTCTTAGTAGTGCAATAGTACCTTATACAGTTTCTCCTGCAAAAGTATAAACTACATGAGGGCAGGGATTTTGTTTTCCTCTCCCCCCACTGCTGTATCCCTAGTTTCTAGCATTTAGTAGTACTTAAATGCTATAGAATGAAGGATACACACTCTGCGGGCATTTTGAAGAATGGAGGTATTACTCATTTACACTGATTCTTGAACCTAGCCCTGTCCTCAGTGGATGATCCACTAACCAAGAGCTACAGAATATTCTGGATAGAATTAAAATGCTTAAAGTTCTTCCAGGTGCTACACATCTAGGTAGAGTGCTTATCTGAATTCAAAGAGTCAGGGTGCCAGGGTGGTTTAGCTGGTTGAGCATCTGACTCTTGATCTCAGCTCAGGTCTTGATTTCAGGGTTGTGAGTTCAAGCTCCACATTTGGCTCCATGCCCAGTGTACTTAAAAGACAAAAACAGAGGATGGAAACTGAACAGACTTGGACAGGTTGGGCTATGTGCTATGACCATTATTTGCACTTAGGATACATATGATGTCAACATTCCAAAAGTCTGATTTCTCCTTTTACTAGGGAAAACACCAATTAAGGTCTAGGTCATTGAAAGAAAACAAATGTAGCGAAGTTGTCCAGGAGAAGATCCACTTACAGTCCTTGGAAGAGCAGAGGAACCTGCCAGGACAGCACCCCTTTCTGCTGGCGAACCACGACGAGGACTGGGTAGTCGAGGTTCTCTGAGGAACTATTCACATACACCCGAACAGCATTCACCTGTGAGCCAGGGCAGAGAGAGAAGGTAAGGCAAATCACACATGCACCTACATGCACGCACACACACACACACACACACACATCATAGCTGCCACCTGACGTGATCTTCAGTGAAACCAGATTCTGGAGGCTTCAAATGGCAGGCTGAGGAGTTCGAATTGGGCAGTCAATACAAGGTATTGAAAAAGAAAGATATTGATATCTCTTCTCATTTGAATATAAATGGTACAGATACAAATGTCTTCAAAAAAAAAAAAAACACAAAACACAAAACCTACAGGCTCCTCAATTTCTGACAGATTTTCATTTTGGTTTGGAAAATCATTCTGTGCTTCAAACCAAAGTGTTATTGTCATGTTTTATTAAAGCCTAGCAGATGGCCTGATGCTCCCCTAGCAACAGATACCATAGGGGCTGAGTATTCTTCTCTTTGTCCTGCTCCAAGGCATAAATCAGTCCCTGACACAAAATGCTTTTCTACATCAGCAGCTCCATGGCTCCTTCTGAATACACAGATCAACCCCAAGGATTTAACACTTTCAAGGCTGTTTTAAAGACAGAAAATTGAACTGTGGCCCTGGATCTAGATGGTTCTGGTGTTTTCCTTCATTTTGTATAATACCATAGACTACATGGAAAGAACAAAATAGAAAAAAGACATGTTAAGAAAGAAAAAGTAAAACCTGACCTTTCACGTGAGATTTCCCCTCCTGCTGTTTTAAAACCTTAGTATTCTCTTGAAAACTTCTTTATTAGGGGGAAGAAATGAAACAAGAAAATCTTGCAGTTAAACCCTGAAAGGTCTATACATGTTCAAAATGGAAACAGAGGAAACAGAACCACATGGATATCATATAATTACTATTTGGTTCTCTTATATCATTCTTCATTAAACCAGTTTGCTTTTTTTAATGTTGAAACAATCCAAGAGTAATTTATTAATTTGATAAGAAGCACTTGTTCATGAAGGGAACATTTTCTTGTGCCTAAACTCTACTACGCTGCAGCTGATAATTGCCAACACCCTACCTCTAGTGCAGACCTTTTCCCTAAGTTCTGGATGTTCCACTAGTACCTCAAATTCTACCTGTCAGAAATGGAATCTATCACTCTCTTCGCTCTTAACTTTAATTTCTTCTGAATTTCCTTGCTTATTGAAAGGCCTCACCAGGAAGCTATTTCATCTAATGAGAACTGTTAGATGAGAGTCATCCTTGATTCCTACTCCTTTAGCCTTCTCAGTCGATGGGTCATTCATTGAGTTCTACTGCTTCTATGTCCTTCATACTGTCTATATCCAGACCTTCCCCTCCACCCACAATGATGTCCTCACCATTCTCATAGTTCATCTCCTCATTGACAGGACCTGATCCAGTCTTCTTAACCCCAGGGCTATGTCCCCTCAGATGTCAATTTCATCTGGGCATTGTCCTATAGGGCAAGGCCTTCAGCAGCTCTGGGAATTTTCAGATTTACTCTAATACCTGGACTTGCAATTGGATCTTAAGTGGGGGGGTGGGCAGTCTTGTGGGACTGAGCCCTTAACCTATGAGATCTGATGCTAAAACCAGGCAGAACTGAACTGACTGCAGGACACCCAGCTGGTGTCACAGAATTACTTGATGTGTAGAAAACCCACACATCTGGTATCAGAAGTGTCGAGTGTGAGCAGAAGAAAATGGAAGTGAGTTTTTCCTACAGACAGCCACCAAGCATTTTTTTCATGTAGTCCAATTTATTATTTTTGTTCTTGGACACTTCTTCCATTGCTCTTTAAAATAGAGATATAGGGATGCCTTGGTGGCTCAGTCAGTTAAACGTCTGCCTTCAGCTGAGGTCATGATCCCAGGGTCCTGGGATTGAGTCCCGCATCGGGCTCCTCCTTGCCCAGTGAGGAACCTGCATCTGCCTCTGCCTGCCATTCCCTCTGCTTGTGCATGTGCTCTCTCTCTCTTTGACAAATAAATAAATAAAATCTTAAAAAAAAATAGAGATATAATTCACACACCACACAACTCACTCTTAAAGGGTACAATTCAGCAGTTTTTAATATATTCACAGAGATGTACAACTATCACCACATCTAATTCCAGAATATTTTCCTCACTCCAGAAAGAAGCCCTGTACCCATTAGCAGTCATTCCTCATTCCCTCCTTCCCTTAATCCCTGGTAACCAGTAATCTAATTTTGTCTCTGAATTGACCCATTCTGGACATTTCATACAAATGGAATAGTATATGCCCTTTTGTATTTGGCTTATTTCACTTAGCATGATGTTTTCAAGATTCTTCCAAGTTGTAGCATTTCTTTTTATTGCTGAACAATATTCCATTGTATGCACACACCACATTTGTTTATGTATTATTCAGTTTATGGACATTTTGGTTTTTGCCACTCTTTGGCTGTTACAAACAATGCTGCTATGAACATTTATATACAAGTTTTGGTGTGAATATGTTTTAAATTCTTTCGAGTGTATACCTAGGAGTAGAATTATTGCGGGACATGGTAACTCTATGTTTAGAGGAACTGCCAAAATGTTTTCTAAAGAGATTAATCTTTTTACATTCTAGCAATTTATATTACTGGTAATATATAGGGGTTTCAATTTCCCCACATCCTTGTCAACACTTGTTGATTATTACAGTTCTAGTTGGTGTGAAGTGGTATCTTGCTGTGAATCATACAGTATTTTAACTCTTTACCTGCCTGGCTCTTTTAGGGAGCTGTAAACTTCATCTTTGGTGTCCCTAGTGTTGACAAAACATGTTAGTTCGGAAGCAAGCTCACTTCTGCAGTTCATAATACAAACACTCACCAGCATTATGCAGCACGTGGTGTGAGAGCACCCTTGTAGTCTGGCTTAAATCTGCAGCAGTCAGAACTGAGGTAAAACCTAAGGAAAGCTGTGAACTAAGGCAAGCTTCCTCTTTAGCTCGTCCGCTCTCTTTTCTTTACCTAGGCTTGCAGCTTCCTTCTCCCTTCTTAAGTACTTAGTGCCAGAAGGGATTTCCCTCCATTTTGTTTCCCCACACTTAAAGAGAGTGATTCTCAAAGGTTAGTGTGCTTTTTGGCATTCGGATCCTCAAGCCCACCCCTAGCATTTCTGATTCAGCAGATCAAGGAGAGAACCTCAAAATACGCATGCTTACCAAGCATGCTGCAGGGTTCTGATGCACATGGATTGCAGCCTGTACTGTTCCAATGGAACCAGCTAGCAGATGACCCCATTTGTCAGCAACTTGCCAACTGCCCATTATTATGACGTGCACAACCATGACACCACCGAATGTCACGAGTATGTCTGGAAGCTGGTGTCTAATGGGGCAGAAACTGGGCTAGTAGGAAGGAGATCTGTAGGGAGCAGAACAGATATCACCCCACTCACTGCTCATTGCCGCACCTAATTTTATTCCTTGTCTGGCTCTTATAATCCATTTACTTTTGTATTATTTAATAATGGTCTTACTAATTACAATAAAAACAAACTCAGAGATACTGACATAATAAATTGCAGAAAAATATATTAAAGCAGGAGATAGAAACACTGGGTAGTTTTTTTGACACAAATGCATTGCCCCCAGGAAAGGATAAAGAGTCCTGTTCAAATATTGCTTTGCTTTTTCAGAGGCTAATGTGCAACTGAGAAAATTGGATTACATTTGCCGCAGTGAAGCAAGCCCTGTAAAGGCAAAACTCAATGAGGGACCGAGTATTGACCATGCATGATAAATTCGACACCTTGTAACAGACCGTTCTTAAGAGCCAAGATTTTCCCTCCTGTGGCTTCTTCCTGTTGTCCTGAACACTTTGTAGTCCCCCCGCCCTTGCCCATGGGGGGATATGTTCCAAGACTGCCAGTGGTTGCCTGAAACTGCAGATAATACCAAACCCTATATATACCATATTTTTTCCCATACATACATACCTATGATGAAGTTTAATTTATTCATTAGGCATAGTAAGGTATGAATAACGATACCTGATAATAAAATAGAACAATATAGTGTAATAAAAGTTCTTGAATGTGCTCTCTCTCTCTCTCTCAAAATATCGTACTGTACTCACCCTTCTTCTTGTGATGATGTGAGAGGCTAAAATGCCTATGTGATGAGATGAAGCAAGGTGACAGATGTAGGCATTGTGACGCAGTATTAGCCTACTATTGACCTTCCGACCATATGTCAGAAGGAGGATCATCTGCTTCTGGGCTGTGGTTGTCCATGGGTAACTGAAATTGTGGAAAGTGAAACCACGGATAAGGGATATATGACTGCTGTACATATATCTTATTTTCTTTCTGTGTTTTTTTTTTTTTTTTTAAAGATTTTATTTATTTATTTGACAGAGAGAGACAGCGAGAGAGGGAACACAAGCAGGGGGAGTGGGAGAGGGAGAAGCAGGCTCTCCGCAGAGCAGGGGAACCCGATGCGGGACTCGATCCCAGGACCCTGGGATCATGACCCGAGCCGAAGGCAGTCGCTTAACCGACTGAGCCACCCAGGCGCCCTCTTTCTGTGTTTTTTATAAGCAAGGAGTTGTGTTATAGATAAGAGAGAAGAATTATTTAAGTACTCCCATTTCTGATATTATATAGATCACAATTACGAAAGGTCTTAAAACTTCGAGACTCCCTTTTTAATCTGTTGGAATGTGTCAGTAGGGAAAAGTTCAAAATTATAAGTAATATAATTCTGTTGCATAAAGATGATGAAAACGAGTTTCATTTAAAATCTGGTTTCGTTTTGCTAAATTAATGAGGCTGTAGGCTCTATTAGTTGGAACATCAGATTATAAATCAGAGATTATTGGCTTCCATTATTAAGCACAGCACTGTTTTCCCATGTGATCTTGAAAAACTGAGTCTCCCTGTAAAATAGCTAAAATAGTATTTGCTTTTCCTAATATGTACAGTTTAATAACTGTGTTATGTTCACTAAGTGTATATCTTGGGCGTGTTCAGGTTATTTGGTCCTTCCTTCCTTCTCTCCCTCTTTCC